ACTCTGTCTCAAAAATAAAAATAACAGGGGCCGGGCGCGGTGGCTCACGCCTGTAATCCTAGCACTTTGGGAGGCCGAGGCGGGTGGATCACAAGGTCAAGAGATCCAGACCATCCTGGTCAACATGGTGAAACCCCGTCTCTACTAAAAATACAAAAAATCAGCTGGGCATGGTGGCGCATGCCTGTAATCCCAGCTACTCAGGAGGCTGAGGCAGGAGAATTGCCTGAACCCAGGAGATGGAGGTTGCGGTGAGCCGAGATCGCGCCATTGCCCTCCAGCCTGGGCAACAAGAGCGAAACTCCGTCTCAAAAATAAAAATAAAAATAACAAAATAACAAAATGTATGAACTTTGGGGGACTTTTAACAGTAGATTAGCATAAGTCCCCTATTCTTTCCAAGTTTTCTGAACCTGCTCATTAGCAAAGATTCTATTAAAGCTACGTTTTTATTCCAGAAGCACATAATTGGCAATAGTATGCAGTTGATGAAATAGAAATGTGCTGACTAGAATTTACTCCTTTAGAGGAAGATAGTTCTCTGCTTAATTGCCAGACCTAGCTTTGTTGTTTTATCATTACACTGAAGTTCGTCACGTTGTACTATGGCATTTACTAGCAATTTTCTTTTTCTTTTTTTTTCTTTTTTTTTTTTTTTTTTGTACTCTCTGGAGTCTTCTGAGTGGACGGTGTAGTTTAATGGCATTTTTAATTTCAGCACCAAGCATTCTGGTCTCTTTCTGTTGGTAATAATGCTCTGTTACTCCCTTTGGGAGCTGCTTCCCACATTCTGTGTTATTTGGATGAGAGTGTCAGTCAAGTGTCTCAAGCAGCATAAGCCAGTTAAGCTGAGCCAGGTGAATTATTTTTTCTAGGAAGTTACATCGAGAGCATGACTAGTGATGAAAAAAAATCATACTGCTTGAAGTCCTCATGTCCAGCAAACTCCTTGGCCTTTATCTTCAGGATTAAATAGGAATAGACATTTTAGGCCCGAGAGATCAATTATTAATCGTGCCAATTATAAAAGTAAGATTTTTATATTTAATCCTTATATCTTTCACAAAGGCTCACATTCTTATTTATAGGCACTGAACAAGTGACAGCTATTACATGGTAGTTTGTTAGGAGGAAGTCTGGAATTCAAATCTAGGAATTTTTAATGTCTTCCCTTGACAAGATTTTTATGGAAAAAGTGTGAAAATTTATAACTAACTTATTCTGGAAATGTTGACAACCAAGACAAACAGCTATAGGCTTTTAATCTATGGCCCCAAATCGGGTATATTTAAAGTTCTGCATATGATGATATACAAAATATTTTCATGATGCACTGAAAATTTATCAAATAGGAAAGCTGTGATTTGGGTGATAGTTTATATATTTGTTGTAGTGCAAATGGAATACTACCTATTTTGGTGGACCCTGTAAACATAGATAGTGAAACTGTAAGCAACAGCATTTGAAAAATAAATGCACTGTGAACGTATTTTATAAATCTATGGCGACTAATAATAAATGGGATCTCGCATACAGGAGAGACTTGCTGTTACTTATTGACTATTTCTTTAGCAAACATTTAGGTAACACTTACTATATTAAATATATATACAATGATATAATTTCCCTCATTTACAGATGGGGAAACTGAAGTCATAGAGAGATGAAATAACTTGTCAAAGATCCCACAGCTGAATTGAATTCATCTCGTTAACAAATCAGTTTTATTTATCACCTTAAAGGTTGCTGCTGGAATGAAATGATGAACAATATGCTTGAAGCAATTATTTTCACCACTGTCTCTGATCAAAATAATTGTTTCTACTTATATAACAATTATTTATTGAGTACATACTACATGTACTACTTACAATGTACAGAAACTATATAGTGAACAAAATAGACAAATGTTTACCTTCATAAAGCTTATGTTCTAGTGAGAATTCTGTTAGGATATTAATACTTGAAAGTGATCTTATTTTAAGCTTTTTTAGGGCTGGGACTATGTCTTTTGTCTCCGTATCCCTAACTTCCAGGTCAGTTTGTGATAGATATTAGAGAGTACATGAATAAAAGAAAAAGTAAATGAAATACAACCTACAATGTTTCTTTATTTTTGTTTTTTATTTGAAACTGTTTCCTGAAGAGTAACATATATTTATATAGAGAACATTTGATTCTGAAGAAATTATGCAAAATATAATTATCATTACATTTTCAAGTTTTAAATATATTATTTGGGAATAGGAAATAGTAATGTTATTGAAAAGGCAAGAAAATGTGGTACAACATTTCAAAACATTTATCTATAAAGTGCTTTATATGATGGGCAGTAGTTAATTAGGATTTTCAGATGAATGGGTAAATAAAATCTATCTTAGTCTCTTCTTTTTAACTGACTTGGGATCATGATTATAGAGCACTGAAAGAGAAAAAATCTAAGTTCCCCAAACCTCACATATAGGGGTAGGGACACGCAAAGGCATATATCTTACAAATAACATAAACTAGAATCTTCAGGGAAAAAAATGCATTGTAATCATTTTGTTTATTAAAATAAGAATAACAAATAATTTTTACTTTATTGGTGTATCTTCAGTATATGTTACTTAGATATGTAGCCCTTGACCTAGTAGGAATCAAAATAGAGGTAGTTCTACTTCAAGAATCTGTAATAATCCCTTCACTTTAACACATGAATGTGTTCAATATTGGCAAAAGAACACGTTGCTACCAAAACTGAAACAAGATCCTTGAAACAGAAAGGATGTTGCCATGGAAAAATGAAGTAACACTCAGTGCAGCTGTGATGCATTCATGAATAGGATATTTTTTTAAAAGATCATTTGTGTTTGGTGTGGCTCAGAGGGTCCCAACCAGATGGTTTCCATGAACATGATCTGACCCCCAGCTTGAGGACTTCTTACTGGCAGATTACTTCATTTTCTTTCCCTCAGATTGTCAGATCCTTACATTAATTCAAAATTTACTGCTGCAGATTTATATTCAGTAATATAAATCACTCAACATTTTACATTAAAACCACAATTTTATACATAAAGTTTAACAGTTATTTTAAAAGTGTAAAAAGATTTATGTGATAGCTTTAGTATATATAATAGATATAATATCATAATTTTGAGTAATTTTAATTATATGATTCTTATCATTAAAGGAATTCTCACAACATATATCATATTTTAGAAAGTTGATTTTAGAGTTGTTATGTATCTGATGCTACTATACTGTTGATTCTGTTTGCATTGCTCACATTGTTTATACTTGATGGAATAATTGAGTTTTAAATTAGTGAAATTTTATGTTTTATGATTTTGGAAATTTTGGCATGATTTAAATTTGCTCCTAAGGACATGTGTGCATATATTTGTGTATGATAACATATTAAACTAATTACTGCACACTTTTGAAAGCATTTTTCAACATAGTATCAATACCTGCATAAAGTGTTAAATATTGACCCTTCATATTTTGACATTTTAACCTGAATTAATAAAGGATATGCTCTTAATGTGCCATTTTAAATTGTGCAACTGAAAATTACTGATGAATTATGTTAAATATTTTAAAGCATAACTGTAACTTACCTGAGACAATATAGATTTCTATTTCAAAATAAATAAAACATGTCATGATTTTAAATCAATAAACTACTTAACACACATGTACTTTAATCTGCAGGATAAGATTTTAGAACTAAAATGAATTTATGCTTCATGAACCAATACACTTATTTTTGCAAAATTTTATCTGTATTTTTCTTCACTGAATTCATCAGTTTGTCCATGCCCCAAAATGTGAAGCAAAGACAAACAGGCTTGTTTATTTATAGGTTGGCAAATTTTTTATCTAGGAATTCTAAACCTGTTACATATCATCATGCTGTCACCAGAGTAGTGTATTAGCCTCAAGAGAAGAGATATTGCTATTATCTTTTTAAAATGTAGTCTTTTTCTAATATAGTTTCTTTGAATATCCAAGAATTTATGAATTTAAAAAAAATTGTTTTTATCACACCTTCAGATAACATCTTTGAATAACAAATATTTTGTAGGAAATTAACCAATATAGTTTGTATTTTGTCAATAACTTAAGTATCGTAGGCTGTTGGAGCAATTTAATAATGAAGTACACAGTATTAATATGTAGGCACCACTAAGACAAATAGACTTTAGTCTACATTGCTTCTGACTCAAGAAGTTATGATGAATTTATTTTTGGGGTTGGGCTTACTTTATCTCTTTATCTTAATCTCTAAGGGGCTGGCAACTTAATGTAACTCCAGTGGGGATAGGAGAGCATTAAGATAATACGTGAAATTACAATTTAGGTAATTTGAAGAAGGAAGAAAGGAAGAAATAATGCTCTGATTTTTAAGTCTTCTGATTTTGCCTATTCCCATGTATTTGTTTATATATAATATATCTGATATATTTATGTATACTTGAATCATTATATATAAAAAGTGAAACTATGTGATATAAACATGTTCTTTAATGGTTGTCTCATGTTATAAATTGAATGTTTTAAACTCTTTTTCTTATACTCTAGTCTGTAAAGTAAAAACGGAGAACTAAATTCACGTAAATATAGCCCTTTTTAAAAAAGTAACAGCAATAAAATGCTAGGTAGTTCTAGGCTTTATCTGATGTTAACAACATTTTCTAATCAACTGCAGAAGAAGGAGGGTTTTCTGATCTTCTTTTGCCAGCACACTTTCTAACTCAATCTTTTTTCTTGGAAAAGACTGTGAAAGGGCAGATATATTTTTATCTCTTGTCACTGGGCATTTTGTGTCAAGTTTATAACAAGAGTAAACAATACCTTTTCAAGTGTTTTTAATATTCATTAGTGAAAATAAGTCATAAAGACATAAATATGGAACATTTACTTTTTTGGTTGTTTATTCTGGTGAAGATATTAGGTGTTTGACAGTGTATTTAGTCTGATCCAAATATTTTAATTCTGCTTTTCTTTTCTAGCTTGAAGTACAATCTTGTTGTGTGTTTATTCCAAATGAAAGTCTGCCTTCCCCAAGTACAATTGTATGTGGTGACATTCCTGGAACAGTAAGAAGTTGGTACCATGGACAGACCAGCATGCCAGGAACACTTGTCCTCTGTTTGCCTCAAATAAAGATTATTAGTGCTGGGCACAAGTATATGGAACCTCTGCAGGAGATCCCATTTGTTATCCCAAGACCCATCCTTGAAGAAGGTATATTAAAAAATTATTTTTCCTATGGTTAATGTTTTATATGGATATTTTTGATTTTTTGATATCTTTAAATGTGTCAGTATATACAGAAATCAGTCTTCTCATTGAAAGATTTTCATAACCAAAGTAAATGAACTAAGTGATGCCATTTATTGCCATCCATATCTTTTAATCTCAGTCATATATTTACATATATGTTATCTATAAAAGATCATATGCAAAAGAATATAACTAAAATATAAACATAGGAAAAATTAACAGTAATAAAGTTGGTTTTGGATATTAGGCTGAACTAAAAATGATAAGTAGATTGATATTAATTTAAGGTACTTGATTTACTAATGTATATATTATATATAGATAATTGCATGAATATATTACTTATAGCAAGCATAATGTATTTTTAGATTTCTCATTTGTTTACACAAAGTAAATAATTATATGATGATTAGAGTCATGTTTCTTCTATATATACGTGATTTCTCATATTGCTGTGTTTTCAGTTATGAATTCATAACCTTTTGAACTTTGACATATTCATTTCAAACAAAATGTGAACCTGGAAAAGTTTTGAGTCACACAGTAAATAATGTGAATATATATTTTAATAACAAGGCTGAAATTTTTGACAGTGCTAAACAGGTCAACACCTTGTTCATATTATTAGGATGTAAGTGTATGAGTCCTGATATCGTTGAAATTTCTACATACTGTCACTGAAAAGCAGACATAGCCCGTGTAATTTCTGACTTCTACTTTGATGTTGATTTCTCTCTCCTTTTCTCTGTCCTGAAATATCTACTGAAATCTACTTTTCTTATATTTGTCAAAAGAAAGCATGATTTTACTCATACATTTTTAATCCTTAATAATATGAATACTCTTATATAATCAGAATTTTAAAGTTAAAGATAATGATTTTAGAGTATATGGTCTTTTGTGACTGGTTTCTTTCATTCACCGTAATATGTTAAAAATCAAAGCATGTTGTAGCAGTCTTTGTTGTTTTTATGGCTGAATAGTATTCCATCTTATGGATATACCAAGTTTTATTGATCCATTTATCAGATGATGGACAGTTGAGGTTGTTTTCACTTTTTGACTTTTATGAGCAATCCTGGTATAAACATTCTTTTATAGGGGCTTTTTTTGTGGATTTGCTTTAATTTCTTTTAGCTATATGCCCCGGAGTAGAATTGTTGAATTGTGTGGTAACTAGGTTTGAGCTCTTCAGGAATTGCCAGACTGCCATCTAAAGTGCATCATTTTACAATTCCACATCAATGTACAAAGGTTCTGATTTTTCCACATCTTTGTCACTATTTGTTATTATCTGCTTTGTTTCTTTTTCTTTTTTTGTTCTAACCATCCTAGACAATAACCTCTTAAACTAGAGAGAACAATTAAAGTGTTTTTAAGAACTGTGTTGGTCAGGCAGAGAGTAAATAGATTGATTTGTACATCATTTAATACACTAAATACACATCTTAATATTTATAAAACAGAAGTTTACTTTATGAAAATGGTGCTTATTTTTACTATAAAAATAATAAAAGTGGTGTGAGGTGGTATTTCATTGTAGTTTTGGTTTGCATTTCCCTAATAACTAATAATGTTGAGCTTATTTTCATGTGCTTGTTGGCTATTTGTATGTCTTCTTTAATATTTTCTTTCTTTTATTTATTTTTTTTTTTGATGGGGTCTTTTTCTGTTGCCCAGGCTGAAATCCAGTAGTGTAATCATGGCTCACTGCAACCTTGAGCTCCTGAGCTCAATCGATACTCCCACCTCCTGAGTACCTGGGACTACAGGCATACACCACCATACCTATCTAAATTAAAAATTTTTTTTTGTAGCGATAGGGTTTCACCATGTTTTGCAGGTTGGTCTCAAACTCCTGGGCTCAAGTGATCAGCCTGCCTCAGCCTCCAAAAGCACTGGGATTATAGGTGTGAGTCACCATGCCCAGCCTTATATTTTCTTTTATTCAAATCTGTTGCCCACTTTTTAGTTCAGTTACTTGCCACCTTAGAGTTGAGTTGTAAGAGTTCTTTATAATATTCTAGATACAAGACCCTTATAAGATACATGATTTGCAAATATCTTCTCCCATTTTATACACAGTCTTTCCACTTCCTTTGTCTTATAGACATTTGCAATTTTTATAAAAGTTGTAGGATATGAATATCTATATTATAAATTTATATAATATAAATTGCTATTATATTTATAGTATAAACTTTGGCAGACTTCATCTCTACAAAAAATTTTAAAACTTCCCAGATGCGGTGGCTAGCACCTATAGTCCTAGCTACATGGGAGGTTGAGGTGGGAGGATTGCTAGAGCCCAGGAGTTCCAGAATGCAGTGAGCTATGATTGCACCACTGCACTCCAGCCTAGGCAACAGAGCAAGACCCTGTCTCTGTAAATTAATTAACTAAATATATATAATACATGATATATATTTTGTAATATGTACTATTTTTATTATACTTATAAGCCATATACGTAATTTTATTTTACATGATTATGTAAAGTATATAATATATAATGCAGAATTATGTAAAGTATATATATTATGTAATACATATATAAATGTAAACATAATGTAAAAAGTTTTCCTTTGCTATACTGACAATTATTTTCTCACTATTCCTTTTTTTAATATTAGAAATTAATACCATTTCCACAAAGATTCAGTTTTAGAAATATTAAGATGCATATTTAATTTATTAAATGATATAGTAAATCAGTCTATTTACTTTCCACCTGAGCAACACAGTTCTTTTTTTTTTTTTTTTTTTTTTTTGAGACAGAGTTTCACTCTTGTTACCCAGGCTGGAGTGCAATGGCGCGATCTTGGCTCACCGCAACCTTAGCCTTCTGGGTTCAAGCGATTCTCCTGTCTCAGCCTCCTGAGTAGCTGGGACTACAGGTGTGTGCCACCATGCCCAGCTAATTTTTGTATTTTTAGTAGAGACGGGGTTTCACCATGTTGACCAGGATGGTCTTGATATCTTGACCTCGTGATCCACCCGCCTTGGCCTCCCAAAGTGCTGGGATTATAGGCGTGAGCCACTGCGCCCGGCCTGCAACACAGTTCTTAAAACACTTTAATCCTTTTCTCCAGATTGAGGTTATTGTTATGTATTTTCTTCTATTTTTAAAACGATATTATTTTGTAATATAATTGCTTAGATTTGGCACATACAGGACTAATGCAGAAGTTGGAAAACTTTCTCAATTAAGTGCCAGATATTAAATATTTTTGTTTCAGCAGCTATATGGTTTCTGTTTTAACTATTCAATCATGCTTTATAGTGCAGAGCAAAAGACAATACGTCAACACATTGGTATGACTGTGTTCTAATTTACAGAATCTGGTGGTTAGCTACATTTGGTCATGAGCCATATTTGCCTACCTATATTCTAGTGCTTTAGTAGTCATTCCTTTTCACAGTTCAGCCCTTCCTTCTTTCTCAGTTCATTTACTTCTGCCTGAAGTACATCCTCTAGAAGCTCTTTTTATGATAGTCTGATGTTAGCAAACTCTCAATTTTGTTTCTTTGCCTTTTTTTGAAAAAGATATTTTCTGGGTATGTAATTCCTTGTTTATAGTTATTTTCGCCCAGCTCATTGAAGGCTGTTGTGCTGATTCTTGCTTTTCATTGGCCTTTTAGGACATACAATGTCATTTCATGTTTCCTTGGAGGTAGTTTGTCCTTTTCCTCTGGCTTCTTTAAGGATCTTCTTAGTCTTTGTGTTTTAAAGTTTTAATATTGGAGTCTTAGGAGTTTGCAAGTTTTCTGGCATTATCTATTCAGATATTACCTCTACTTCATTCTTTCCATACATGTGTTAGACTTTTTGCTTTTTTACTGTATTTTCCATGTTGCTTCTTTGCTTTTTCATATTTTCTCTCTTTGACTTGCTGGCCTGCATTCCAGTTAGTTTCTTTAATTATGTTCTGCAGTTCATTAATTTTCTTTTCAGTTGTGTCTAATATTTTGTTAAAGTTGTTCTTTGAATTTTTCAATGTCAACTAATGAAAGTCTAACATAGAAAATGGTACAACACTAAGTATACAACTTGATACATTTTTGTCAAATAAACTCATACATGTCGCTAGTACCTGAATAGAGATCAAGAATACTCCCAGTACCCAGAAGATCTTCTCTTGGGGGCAAATTGTGTTTGACATTTAAAATCATAAATTAGTTTTCTTATTTTTGAGCTTCATAGCACTTTATTTATTGAATTTAAAATTTTACATAGGATATTCTTTTAATCTTGATTCTATTTAAAACTCCTAATTTTTACTCATGTTTTCAAGGCTTCCTTTTATTTCTTTATACATGAAATATTTAACTTACGTGATTGTCTAATTCCTGCTGACTCTTGCCTACTGTACCTACTCAGCCTTGTTTATTCTTTTCTTTTCTGTGCTACTTATTTTCCTTAGAAATTTCTCTGTAGAAATTTTTTGAAGACTGGCCTGAAAGATTCCTCCTATGCGGGCTTGAATTTACTTCTGACCTGTTGGCCGCACTACTAGCTCAGAACCATTTGAAACTAAATTCTTGATAAAATGTTTTCATCCCACTTAGATAATGAAAATTCAAGCTACAACCTCTTAAGAGGGCTGGTTTGTGGTTGTGGGTTTTTCTCCCTCTATTCAAGGTTTCATTTTCTGATAACGTTTGTGAGAGGATTATGTAAAGAAGGGAAGAACAGACAATTTTATTTCTACTTTACCTGTACATGAATAGTCTAGCCATTTGCATGCCAGCTTTATGTTTTATTATTTTCTGCACTATGAGTGGGCCTTAAGCTTTATCTTCAGCCAAACTTAAGTTGACTTCAGTTCAGTGTTGAAAACAAATGCTCAGTTTTAATCAACTTTGAAATGCCTTGGGCCATTTACTTTGCATACCTCTGTGTTTCTGGCTTCACTCAGTCCCTGGCTTTAATAATCCTTACTCTTTTTGGAAATTTATTA